GGGTGTTGTTAGCCAGCGATCCGAAGGCTTATCAAGATCGAACCTGAAATGCTATAGATCTACTACTATTAGTACTATCTCCATGTATGTGAATGATTAGACTGAGCTGTGATGCTTGGAAACGAGAAGAAACGCCAGACATCAGCGATGTCACTGTCAATATAATGTTCGGACCGGCTAACTTGAGGGATGCACGATAACAGCCTATGTCTAAACGATACTACGATGGTCTACCATCTAGGGCGGTGCTACTGACTGAAGTGTCTTTAGGCCATTCCCAAAGAGGGGGACATTAACATCTCGGGTTCTTATGCACAGTAGAATTGTACATGTAATTGTACATGGGCTGGTTCATCAATGTCATGCTCAGTCATAACTGTGCCTGAACTGCGACAGGGAACTGCTGCTTTTTCTTTCCCAATCCTTATTATCGTCATTTCCCCCCTAATTTTTTTGTATGTTTGTCACACTCTTGTGACCCGCTATTTCCGGGGTGCCCTTTGATAGTTGAAGCAGACTTTGTGCTGTTGAAGCTAGAGAGGTGAGCAGAGTAAGTCTGATTCCTTATAAGGACTTATTGTCTGTTGACATCCACCCCTTGGCGCACTTATGACCTTAAGCAGTTGCGAGCGCCGTAAAACTTCTACTAAAACGACACTACGAGGGTCAGCACATGCAATGTTGTTGATCTGAATAGTCTGTGAGTGACGTAGCCAATGCCTCATAATATATATTATGTCGTCACTCTTGATTTGTTGGGAATATTGTTGGCCTATATCATACATAGTAGGCGGTTGGCGGGCGCTCTGGTGTGGTTTGCTCCTTCTGTCCTATCAAACATCAATCGTCTTTATCTCCCCTCCTTCTTTTTTGTGTTTGTTACTCTCTTGTAACACCTCTAGTCTTCTGGCGCTCATATGACCTTATGCAGTTGCGAGTGCCGTAAAATTCATACTAAAACTAGAACTATATCATACATAATGTGGGTGTGGTGGCGGAGCGGTTAGTCCGCTCGTCTCCGAAGTTCGAGCCTCGGTTCGGATTCAGATTTTTTTCGCCCCCTCCTGCCCACCCATCAGTAATAGTAAGTAATTGGTACCTGACTTCGAGTTGGGGAAGTAAAGGCGGTGTGGAAAGGAATTAGCCACCCTATCACAGTATGCCGAAGGCCCAAGAAGTTGTCTCACTAATTTACAAGGCAATCCCCAAAGTCCGGATCGGATGCGGTAACCACTTTACTTTATACATACATAATATATTTTTTTAAAATGTACCTTGTTTGTTTTAGTAGAGGTTTTACGGTACGGCGCTCGCAACTGTTCTGCATAAATAAGTCATATTAGCGCCAAGGGGTGGATGTCAATAGAGAAGTCCTTACAAGGAATCAGACTTATAGTAACTCTGCTCACCTCTCTAGCTTCAACAGCACAACGTCTGCTTCGACTTCTATCAAAAAGCACCCCGGAAATTGCGAGTCACAAGAAAGTGACAAACATACAAAAGAAGTAGAAGAAAAATGATGATAGTAATTAGGATTAGAAAAGAAAAAGCAGCAGTTCCCTGTTGCAGTTCAGGCACAGTTATGAGCATGGCATTGGCGAATCAGCCCATTTACAATTACAATTCTACTGTGCATAAGAACTCGAGATTTAATGCCCTCTTTGGGAATGGCTTAAAGACACTTCAGTCAGTAGCACCACTTCAGGGATTGGGGAGGGGTGAATTGCACCTAATTACTGCATTTGATACTAATAGGCTACACTGTGTTGCACCAATGTAGTGGTTAGGCGATTTGCTGTCACACGCAGGAGACCCGGGTTCGATTCCCGAGTGGGGCGAATTTTTATGTATATCACGGTCTTTCTGTTGAGTTATCATTATTATATTATAATTATTGTACATGTATAATCCTTCTCAGCCCGTGTTTGTCGAGACAGACACGGTCGGAAGTCCGCCTCTTAAATTATGACCTAAATTGTGTCGACGGGGGCGTAAAAACACCTACATAAAAAAGAAAAAAAGGGACGACGATAAGCCTGTGGTCATCACAGGCATATATATTTTATATTATTATGCTAAGCCTGAGGTCTAAGGCTAAGGTAGCCTAAAGAAAATGTACGTTCAAAATCTTAGCACCTTCCTCTTGGCGAACGAGGTTATTTTGTGATTCCCACGTCATTGGGGAATTCCAGCATTTCTAACTATTCAGGAGGTAAACCCAGATCGAAGCATCTTTTTTTGTGTACTTTTTGCTCAACAAATTGGTAGGACTAGGGCCTATTATGCGTACTGTGGCGGAGGAAAAAAGCGGGTGTTTTCAGTCAAGAAAACGTGGGTTGTCTGACCTGACTGAATATTCATATCAGCGCTCGGACTGCATTATGGGACAGTCGTACCGCTTGTTTACAAACATAGGCTAGGTCTAGTTTTATTAGTGTAGATATTGGTAATTCGATAAATATTCTAGGCTTATAGAACTGTAGGCATCTACAGTAAAGTGGTTGTAATATGATACCCTATATAGCCCTTTTACAACGTCGGTACGATCAAATTTTCCCTCGTCTATAAGGTTGTGGTTTACAGAATTTGGCGCGGAACAGGTACTCGTCTATTGGCTGACTAGTGTTCCCGGAACATGTATTGGGAAAGCGGATGATAAATTTAGTCTTGTTTTCAATGTTTAGAGTCAATTTATTGCTAATGAATCTCTAAATGATTCAATAGAAAGCTAATGAGATCGCAGCTTAGATCAGAATCGGACCAGTTAAGATCCTTACAACAAAAAAATGCAATTTCGCGTCAAACAGTGACTCGGTGTCCGCCATGTTGGTTAGGAACCACCATGCTAGCCACAAAATCAACATGGCGCGCCTACGTTTTCCAGGACGTCCTGGCTATCGATTTGATCGGATTGGTGTTCGATATGGTGCTGATGAAGCTCGACAGACAACAGATCCCACTTTATCAGTAGTAGCAAGTATCCACCGAGGACTACGAAGATTCAGAGAATTGTTTGGGGACTCTGATGAGGTAAACAAATCAAGGAGCATCGATGATCCATTGATCCCCATTCCATAAACATGGCTTCCTCCGATACGCCGATTCAATGAAATTTCCCATCGGCTCATTTACTTAGTTGCATCAGAGCCTTTATAGACACCTGCAGAACGTTTGCTCATTACACTAATTAATTGTACTGGTTTTGACGCTGGTCATTATCCCATACAGTTTCATCCACGATTCGAATGTGAGACCCTCCTCGGTTCTCTATCACTGTCAACACTGAATGTTTGTCACTGTCGTCGTAGCCTAGTCATACACTTGTAGGCCCCATGCCATGACACATTGGCAGACCTACTCTTGTCATACAGTGGAGTAGTAGATCTAGATCTAGTAGTTGCAGATTCAGATCAAGGTATAGATCTAGGAGTTTTAACTAATCTTGTCTAAAGATAGTTGTTGGTAGTCTGTGCCACACACCTCTCTACTCTGCAACTGTAATTGTTGGCCTAGATGTCATAGCCTATGAAGTCGTGGCAGTGGCACTCAGTATTTTATTCTATAAATTGTAATTGACGTCCACTGATGAGGCAGTATTATATCTGATCAGGAGTAATTGCTGAGCACTCTCTTGTTACAACTGCTTTGAATATTGGCCTTCCGTTTTCATCATTCTCTAACTGCATCACATGAAAAGTAAAACGATGTTGACAGTTGATTGTGTGACATTGTGATGTTGGACATTTTATGTCTTCCTAGTTTGCTCTGGCCTCAACCCTAGCCAGGCCTTAGCCTTAAATAAAATCGTTGTGTCCTGCAATCATATTTATGCGTGTGTCAACCAAAGGATGTCAAGCTGACTTTGAAGGCACTCGGGTGCTCTGGTGTTTACGAGTCGCCCTTTCTTTCCTCTATCGAACATGATCTAGATGTCCTGATCTGTCACACACCTCTTTTGTTTACACCTTGTATTCTCTTTTGTAACTCGAGTTCCTCTTATCTTTGGTGCTATTATGATGACCTTATTGTGTTGCTAGTGCCGTAAAACTCTTGTACTAACTATTTAAACTACTAAACTAATACTATAGCTCAGAGACATCCCCCCCCCCCAAGGCAGTGCTACAGACTGAAATTGTGTTGGCCATTTTCAAAGGGGGATAGAACATGATACTTCTTTATGCACAGTAGAATTGTAAGTGGGCTGATTTATCAATGACAATGTCATGCTCATACTGTGCCGGAAAAAAAGGGAACTGCTGTGTAATTCTTTCCTCATTCTCACTATTATGGTCATTTTCCCTCTACTTCTTATGTTTGTCACTTAAACTCTCTTACTTGTGAGCTGTTGTGTTATAATTTCCGGGGTGCCTTGATAGTGGAAGCAGACCTTGTGCTGTTGAGGTTAGAGAGACTAGAGAGGTGAGCAGAGTAAGCTTGATTCCCCGTTTGGACTTTTGAACTCTCTTTACATCCACTATCCGCCCTTTGGCGTCATGTGACCTTTTATCAATTCATCCAGTGTGTGAGGGCCGTAAAAGCTTACGAAAACAAAACAAAAGAGACACTTCAACTTGTAGTGGATCAATTTACAGTGTATTTCGCTCTATGAATACGCAATGTTGCTATTTTTACTTTAATACAAAACAACAAAAGATGTCTATAGGAAGAGGCTAGCCGTACATGACGGCAAGACTGCTAGGCTAGCCATACTTAAGTACTGCTAGACTACTTGGCTAGCCGTACTTATATGATGGCTAGACTGACCCCCCAAAAAATACGCCTTAATGAATTTTAATTATTTTAGTTTGCAGTACCTAAAGTATTTGTATTTGAGACTAAACCAAAGGGTGCCTTACTGACAGTGCATGTATTTTAAACCTGAATAATTACCACTGATGAGATTTGTCAGACTAGCCATACTTTAAAATAATGATGGCTGAATTGTAATTGAAATTTTTAGTTTGCAATGCCTAAAGTATTTGTATTTCAGAGAAAATCAAAAGGTGCCTTACTGACTTGCATCATGTATTTTAAACCTGACTAATTACTAGATCTAGTTCTAATGAGACCTGTGTACTCAACAGGTTTGAGTCAATAGGGCCAAACCTAGATCTAAGTACGGCTCTCTGACTCTCTTCCCATGTTTGTCTGTCTGTCTGTCTGTTTGCCTGTCTTCCTGTCTGTCTGTCTGTCTGTCTCTCTCTCTCTCTCTCTCTCTCTCTCTCTCTCTCTCTCTCTCTCTCTCTCTCTCTCTCTCTCTCTCTCTCTCCCTCCCCCTCCCCCTCCCCCTCCCTCTCTCTCTCTCTCTCTCTCTCTCTCTCTCTCTCTCTCTCTCTCTCTCTCTCTCTCTCTCTCTCTCTCTCACTCTCTCACTCACACACACACGCACACCAAAGCACTTATTTTAAAATTCTCTCTCCTCGTGAACACATAATTCACACAACATTATAACACACTTCCTTGCGAGCAAGGTTTTATGAACGCACTCTGACATACAAGATTTTTTAAACAACCGTTGCAGCCTTTGAAGAGTGTTGAATAATTATATTGAGCTCGGTTCTTTTGGGTGTCCTCTTGTCAGTTTGTCCAAGTTTTATAAATAGACCTTAAGAATTACACACAAAAGTTGCCCATAGCATTTGTCAGTTTTGCGTAGACTGACTAACTCTGAATGTAATGTGAGGGTGTCCATACTTTATTATTCAGGCTTTTGGTTAGCTAGCTATACAGTTGGAGATGGGTTTGTTTGTAACTCTAGTAAAAAGCACATTTTTATTATTAAAAGTAGTAGAATCTTTTAATGATATCTTTTAATGATAGTATCAGTGCATTTCCACTCCCATCTCTGTTCATCCCAGCCGACCCATGGTAAAACTGCTGCACTTGCTCCTTGCGTCTGATGCCATTGGATTTTTCAATTAAGCTTGGCTGCAATAAAAAATAGAGATCAGTGACATGTGCTGTTGTCTTTTTAAAAGAAAAACTTTTGTGTAATTTCAAGGGAACTGTGTCAGCAGTCAGCCTTTACCTTCACTTTCTTCACTAGACACAGAGGAATGTTAACAACACATGATTGCTGCTAAGGACACAGCAAGTTGATCAAACGGGCGGCCATTGTTTTCGAATAAAATGTTAACAACGAAAGTTTACAAGAGGGGCTGTATACAGTATGTCTCTTTTCATTTGGATGTTTTATTGTTCCGTTAAAATATGTAAGTGGATGGTTGGCGGGTGCTCTGGTGTGGTTTGCTCCTTCTTTACCATCAAACATCTGTCGTCCTTCTCTCCCCTCCTTTTTTGTGTATGTTACTCTCTTGTAACAAATAATCTATTCTTCGACACTTTATATGACCTTATTATTGTGTTGCAAGTGCAGTAAAACTCTTACTACGAGACTGAAATATGTAGGTAGTAGGTATTTTTACATCCCCATTGACACTTTTCTTTTAATAATAATACAGTGGAGTCCACTTATAACGAGTCCTGAAATAACGAGAAATCTGTTATTAAGACACTATTCTAAAACCCCGTTTTTTCCCTTCTTTATCTTTGTAAATAAAATACTACTATAGCGCAATCGGACAAACACGGGAGTCGGTTATAGCGGAATATTGCTGCTGCTGTGCACAGCGCACAGGCCAGTTATACATATAAACCTCGCCAGTTGAGAAACTTGTTGGTGATCTAGCGAAACCTAGGACCTTACATCAACTCCTTGAGCGAAACAAAGAATAGATAGGAGAGCCCACGTTTGCCAACAATGAAGGCCGGAGCGAATGAGTGGGGAGGATGTGGTAAGCACAGACAAGCAGAACGCATCGTGTGATAGGCCAGCCTACTCTAGATTGTCTAGGCATACCACTACCCATGCCCTCACTTCTCCATTGCGGGGATGGAGAGGTCACAATGCTGCAATGGATGGAGTGAATGTGTAGTAACCTGAGCAAGCAGACGAAACACACCACGGGGTGTTGTGGGGTGGGTGACAACACAGCGGGCGAGTTAACCCAGAGCGCATTATTTCTGATCGCCAACGCCGGGCTGTCAACATCGCTAGCGCTTGAGAAAGAAACCCGATTCGATTTTTGATCAAGTAAGACCTAGAGGTCATGTTGAACAATATCATCATCAGGGTAGATAACAAAAAGAAATAAACAGAACACCAAACTCATAGATAAGGCCTACTTATTATTTCCATTGAATTTATTACTGGATTCCTTATAACGAGAGTCCTGGTATAACGGACATTTCGCACCGGTCCCTTACGTCTCGTTATAACAGGATTCCACTGTAATTGCATTTATATAGCGCATATCCATGCTCAAGAGCATGCTCTATGCGCTTTACAACTATTATTACCCCTGCAGACCCTCTGAGAACACCCAGAAACGTTCTCGGCTTCCACGGAAGCATACAGTGCAAGCTGCGGATTTCATGCGCTCAAACACTATCAAACTGACAAGATTGTTCACTGTCTATAGCCGGGTACCCTTTTCCACCTGGGTGAGGTGAGGAAAATTTGTGGAAAGTGCCTTTCCCAAGGACACAACGTCGGGCCCCTGTCGGGATTCGAACCCACGACCTTACGGTTGCGAGTCCGAGAGCCTAACCACTAGGCCACCGACGTGATATTTATAACAACAAATAGTTGGAAAGGCCGGCTAGAAGGACACTGCAGTAGTTTAATTTATATAGAAAGAAATAGAGATTACTCTTCTCAATTTTTTTTGCTGGGCCTTAGCTCTGTGGTGTGTAGCAATTAGGTTCGGCCCTTCACAGTTGCACACAAAAGACCCAAGTTGGATTCCTGAGTGGGGAACATTTTTTTTTTCCTAGTAGTATCTCGGTCTTCTGAAATGCTGTGTCCTTCTCAGCCTGGCAGGCAAGGGTTGAAGCTGCCTCTTTAATTATTAATTATCTAAATGCTGGTGAGGGGGGAGTAAAAACACTTTAAATTGTTACATGATTTTAAAAAAAAGAAATTGCTGAAGACAAGAAAGTCATCAGCATTTAAATCTGATGAAAGTTACTGTTTCTCAAAAGTTGTCTGTGAGCACATGCTGTGACTATTGTGCTGAAATCAGGAAGAGTAGATTGTAGGACACCTGCAGTTTGCATTGGCTGCATCATCATCACCGATTATTGAGTCATCGTTTATTTTATTTCATAAGGCTTTCACAGTGAAATTCGTGATACATATATATATATTGCTGTGAGTATGAGAGTGATTGTTCAGGCTAGACATTGTGCAATTTTCCTGTATAATGTGTTTTAGGAAGTTTATTGAAAATGCACTTCTTGTTCAAGTTTTTAATAACTCATCACAGTTTCTTTTTGTATTTTGTAATGGAACTTCTTTTAAAAAAAATATTTTTGTGGGTGGTTGGCGGGTGCTCTGGTGTGGTTTGCTTCTTCTTTGATCTATCGCCCTTATCTCCCCTCCTTCATTTTTATGTTTGTTACTCTCTTGTAACACCTCTAATCTTCTAGTGCTCATATGACCTTATGCAGTTGCGAGCGCCGTAAAACCTCTACTAAAACAAAAACAAATATTTTTTTCCTAAATACAGGAAGAAGAGTTCTCTGGGTTCACACCACAGCAGGTGCGCGCAGCTGAACGGAATCTCGAGCGCATCATTTCCCGCGAGAAACTTATTCAAGAGCAACAGGCGAAGGAACTTAGTTTTCGCTACCAGCGTTCCCAAGAGAATCTCGCTAGTTTGGAAGCTGCTGGCATTCCTGTTCCTCTGAAAGCCAAAGAAGCTTTCCCGGGATTCAGGAAGACCTACAGGAAAATTGTGGACACTGGTCTCTTCCAAGACAGCACCGCTGCCGTTCAGGGCAAGTTGAGTTTGAAACTGACGAATGACACCGCTCAGCAAAATGGAAGTCGAGCTGATGGTGGTAGAACATCCTCTCTCAGTCACATCAGGATTAAGCGCCTTTCACACAGTGTCGAGACACAGCCCGTCTTACCGGCTCGTGTTGGGAGACCTCGGAAGAGGTTCCCCAATGCCGGTGCGAAAGGCGATCTTCAGGAGCCGAAGGCAAAAACAGCCGGCTCTGATGCAGCTGCCGCCTCCACTTCATCAGGACTGGGGGTCAAGTTGTCGTCAAAGTACCGACCTGCGACTCAACAGATTTTGGCTCGAGCCACGAAAAAAGCGGCTCAAAGCACCAACCGGCTGTTGCTTACGCCGACGAAAAACAGAACTCGGAAGTTTGTTCTGCCCACTAAAAGCTCGCGGTCGTCGCGGGTGATCAAGCCAAACAAACGTTTTTTGGAGGAGGACAGTGTTCAACAGCTGGTGGCGAAGCAGCCAAAGCTGAGTCCCTCTCTGCCCACACCCACATCCACTTCACATTCCATATTGTTTGGGATGGGCGTGCCCGAGGGCACCCAGGGCAATGGCAATTATTTCTCAGTCTTTCAAGGACAAGGCATGTCTCTTTCACCGTTCTACACCAACAGAGAAAAGGGATTTCCTGCTTTTTCTGCGGCTCCCCAGCCTAGCGGAACGGCAAGTTTCACCGACGGAGCCGACGCCCACAAGCCTGTCGGTTCTCTCGACCGGCCCCTTATCGTAGAGGGAAAGCGGCCGAGGAAACCGAGTCTGATCATGAGGATGAAGTTTGTGGAGGATGATCCAGACGATGAAATTCGATTGCAGCAACAGATGGCGAGTCCCATCAAGCCCGGGTCGGCCCCCCTCCCCGCTGATGGTCAGAAGCCGGACTCTGGGGGCCAGGCGCCGGGTGTGACCCCGTCTGGAAAAGCTTACGGTTCCGCGAAGAGCCTGATTGCCCCAGCGAAGCTCTTCACCGATCCCTCCTCCGCGTCCCACGTGTCAGTGTCCAGGAAATCCAAGTACAAGCAGCAGAGACGCGCTGCCGCCCTGTCTCAGAGCACGGTCGTTTTGCGCCAGGCGAAGCTCCACCTGAACCGCACAGCGCTCAACCGGTCCAAGGCGGCGCTGGCTCGTTCGCTCAAGGCTCAGCTCAAGAGGGAGGCCAAGATGGAGCGCAAGAAGCGGCACTCTCAGAAAAAGATGGGCCTCCTGTCGTCTTCTGCTGCCACTACGAACTCCAGCAGTAGCAGTGGCGGCGGGGGTGGGGCCATGCCCGCACCGTCAGTGTCTCCAGGCTCCTTGAGTCAGTTGTCTCCTTTCTCTCACCTCGGTGCCGGGGCGGCGTTTGAAAAGCAGAAGTTGTTTGAGGGAATGGAGGCGGGGGCCGGCTCCTTCTCTCCCACCGGTGTTGGTAAGTATCACAGTTGTTAGTAGTATATAATTATTTCTTTAAATGATTATTAATAATGATAATTATTGTATTATAGGGCATGATGGTAAAAGTAGCACTCAACCCTGATCAAATAAATTACTAAGGCTCTGTGCACTTTACAATACAATAACATCACAGGAACAGTATGTTGTGCTCTGACTGAAAGTCTCTCTTTGCATTATCTCTGATCAATCTAAAAACTGAAATGACTTAAACATTGTTTCTGTTTGATGTATGTGAATTTTACATTTGCAGCGGTCAATAGATCGCTCTGCAGTAAACTACTATCCTTCTTCTCAGTCGGTAATTATGTTTCGCTTTTGATTTAGTCAAAAATGTGTGTTGGTTCCATCAAATTAAAGTTTGAGAGTCCAATATAGATTTCATCATATTATGATAAATATCAGCACTCAAAGCTTAACAAGATCTTTACCTTGAGTGCAAAATTTCTCGAATATATATTCTGTAAATAAGTGAAGAAAAGACGTCTTAATTTTTCTCAAAATTGTAAAAATGGATGTGTGACATCTTGTTGCGAAACTTGTTCTCCTATGATTTGGTCTACAATATTTCATGTTGTCAACAAATTTTGTGAACATTCGAATGAGGTTCTCACAAGTTTACAACTCTCCCACAATTACTAAACATTTTCAAGTAAGCAAGGACCTTGTGAGGGCACCTTTGATTGCTTCCACTTGATTTCCCTGATACTGATATAATATACAGTCGAACCTGCCCTGACGGCCACCTCTACAAGACGGCCACCTGTACAGACGACCACTTTCCATTTTCCCCCTTGCGTTTTTTCTATATAATTTAACTGTGTAAAACGGGCACCTGTCCAACGCGGCCGCGGCCACCATTTTTTAACACACAACCCCTATCACACAAAGCAATAACACCTGTCTTAGACGGCCACCTTAGTGACTCCATTACGTTTTGTCATAAATTGTGCGTTGTGGGTGAGCCGTCATAATCCATTGCCCTGTCGTTATTGTAAGGTAGTTCCTCCAACCGATCATGTTGCGTAGGCCCCTCCTACTGTTGACCAATAGGTAACAAATTTTCAGCTGCTGGTGAGGTGAGCGTGTGATCTCTCGAAACCCATAAGCCCCGCCCAGAATTCATACACAAATCTGAGTGGTCACTGTTTACCCAGTCTGTAACAAAGTAACAATGAATGTCAACATGAACTTGTGACAGAAGCGTTGTTCGTTCTCCGAGTGGTGGCGACCCATGTGTTTGTTTCACCATAGCACTCGGTCCTCCTTGTCGGACACATTTCATTTTATTGTCACCCTTGCACAAAAGCAGCAACAAAATAAAAAACAGAAAGAACAGCGAAAAGAACAACAGTCAACAATAATAACAACAACAATGCGGCTACCTTCCAACCCTCAGAAAGGAATGGTTTGTTTTCTTCATCTTGATCAGTCCTGCCTAAGACGGCCACCTGTCTTATACGGCCACTTTTCTCCTTGACAATGGGTGGCCGTCTTACACAGGTTCGACTGTCTGTCTTGTATCAGTAGCTTAGTAGAAGACTTGGTAAGATTGTGAGATAATGAGTCCAGTGGTGGAAGGCTGCTCAGCTTGGCATCGTGGCTGTGGGAAAGGTGGTTTACACGAATGAATTTTCCCATTTATTTGGCTCAGTCCTATTAGATAATTTACCTATAGGAGAAGTTTGGTTTCATTGGTATGTGTATATTATACTATATTTGTTTGGCTATAGAGAAAACTCGCTGTGTCTTTTTAAAAAACTGAACAAGGGGCAAATACTTTGCCTTTGATTTTCTCAAAACAGCATTATTTTGGGGGTAGCCCCCTTGTGCTTAAAAGCGACCAAATAATCGTAGAGTGTTGCAAGGAGAATTAAGCATATACTATATATATATATATATGTATATATATTTTTTTCTATCTAGCTATCATTGGGCGAAATGACCGTGACTGTGCCGAGGGACTTCTCTTTACTCAAACAAGGCGGGTGCTCTGGTGTGGTTTGCTCCTTCTTTCCTATCAAACATCTATCGTCCTTATCTCCCCTTCTTCTTTCTTTTTTATGTTTGTTACCTCTTGTAACACCTCTAATCTTCTAATACTCATATATGACCTTATGCAATTGCGAGCACCATAAGTAAAACCTCTACTGAAACTAAAGCTAAATCTAAAAAATTTCCCGACACAGGAACCCTCCCAGTCTCCTCTCCAGCTTCCCATCAGGCGCCAGCCGTGACGGACGACAAGGGCCACCAGGCGTCTCTCATCAAGGACGAGGACCTCAAGCACGGTTTTCGTGCCGGCTCCAGGCGGCCCTGTCTGGTGTGCTCGGACCTCTGCACCGTCAAGGAGAACCGGAAGCTGCCCACGGTGCCTCTGTGCAAGCGGTGCAAGAAGGCGTTCTTCTACCAGATCTCCAAGTGGAATCCCCGCAAGCCGTTTAAGCATTGTGTGAACGGGGGTGAGTGGCTTCGGGATTCTCGCGTAGTGAGATGTTGGGGGGGGGGGTAGTCTAGACAAACGTCTGTGGTGTGATGCTTTAAAGACTCTGCCCCTGCGCCCAGAGGACATGGGTTCGATTCTTGCTTGGGGAAGTTATTTTATATCCCCCACCAGGGCAGGGCAACTGTCTGAAGTGTATTTAGGCCATCATTCCCATATGGGGAACATTAACATGTTCTTATGTAGCAATGCCAATAAATTTTCACTTTTGCCCCCTTTTTTTTGGTACTAAGAAAGAATTTTCAATCCTAAAAATCATGCTTCTTGAATTTTGAGAATCGGTTCATAAATAAAAAAGTTATGGGGTTGTAAAGGTCGGCAAAATATGGATGACCCACATATAGGAAAATACTCCTAAAACGTGGACCACGCAGTAGCAGATTCTGTAAGAAAATCGACGATATCTCGGTAACTAATCGGAGTGTTTGAGAGAAACTTGGCTACCCGACGTGTTTTTGAGTGTAGAAATCATTTCTGCAGTCAGATTTACTACTAATTTCGTAGTTATTTTGTTATAATTAAAATTTTGGTGTACATATTACGATTTTGCGAAAAAGGGGTGTCGGGATGAGTCCATTTTATTTATAGCATCGTATCACAACATGGGATCTTTAAGAATATATGTCGGCAGCGTGACTAAATAATTGCAAAGCTTTTTATGATGACTTTAGACCATGCCAACCGTAAAATATAAGTTAATTCAATCTAGCATGCCGTACAATTAAAAATTATTTTTCCCCGTTGAGACGCGAACACCCCGAGACGAGATAACCTCGCCTCGGAATACCCCCATTGCGATGTTACAGGGAAATAGAGAGAAAAACAACCGGATGCGCGCGCCCGCCATTGCCCTATTTCAAGTGACCAATGAACGGGCCCGAAATAGTCATGCGGGGATTTGTAGGTCACATACATTTGCCACGAGAGTGAGGGGAAAATGGCCGGTCTCCGTGCGAAGCCGCTTTGGATAGTGGGGTAGTCGTGTATTTATGATCGGGTCTAAACAACTACTTGACACAGAACGTTCAAATTTGAGCACATTATAGAGGATAGATAGATCTATTACCATCTCGGCGTTGAAATTCAAACTCCTTATAGTTTTCGGTGTACACGATACGAAAGTGTTCCCGACACCAAAAGTATAGGTTAATTAATGTGTACGAACTTCAACGTCCACATATCATTAGTTTGCCCTATTTTCTGATTGGTTGCTGAGTTTCATTCGGATTGGTTCGGAAATAGAGCAGACCGAGGTTGACAAAGTTAGTCACCTATGCTTCGGCTGGGTCCGCAAAATCGCTCGTAAACGGGGACCAAATTTTCGCCGCGCAGGAAAGCTCGATTGGCATTGCTATCTTACGCACAGTAGAATTGTAAATGAGCTGAGTTATTAATGTCATGCTCATGCTGTGCCGGAACAACATTGTGGGAACTGCTGCTTTTTCTTTCCTCATCCTTACTATTGTCATTTTTTCCACTACTTCTTTTGTATGTTTGTCACTCTCTTGTGAACTGCTCTTTCCGGGGTGCCTTGATAGTCGAAGCAGACTTTTCTGTTGACATCCACCCCTTGGCGCTCATATGACCTTATATGCACTTGTGAGCGCTGTAAAACCTAACTAAAACTAGTTATTTTGTTGAATATTCCAGTATGTATGTCTACTGGCAGAATGTGTCCCACCTAGACGAGTTGGTCCTACTGATATAAATTGTGTGTTGATGGTTAAACCAATTTCAATCATTTACAAACGATATTGGATAAATGTTTTTACGAAAACTAAAAAGTGGCAGTTATTTTGCCAGCTCACGACAGGCAGAAATCTAGAGCTCTATCGTGGGTGGTTGGCGGGTGCTCTGGTGTGGTTTGCTTCTTCTTTCCTATCAAACGTCTATATCTATCATCTTTTAAATTTCCCCCCCCCCCCCTTTTTTTGTGTACGTTACTCTCTTGTAACACATAATCTATTCTTCGGCATTTATATGACCTTATTGTGTTGCAAGTGCCGTAAAACACTTACTAAAACTAGAGACCTCTTTCAAAGTTTGCCTTTCTGAAATGTCTTTCCTTTATTGCATATTTTTTCCTCCCATTCCATCCCTCCCCACCCCCAAAATATATTTTTTTCAACTTGTGCTTTCTAGGTCGCTGCGTGATTAACCACAAAGAGAAGTCACATTGTGTTGTGTGCAAATTTCGCAAGTTCATGGCCGTTTTGAAGAAGTGTGAAACCGTGGGCATATGTGGCAATGCGTACCCTTCACAGGACTTGGAATCAGAAATGGTGCGTAAATTTGTTATTTCAGATGTATTGTATTGGCAATTAAAAAAAGGAAAATTTTTTTTTTTGGGTGTGATTGTGTGTGTGTGTGGGGGGGGGGGGGGGGGCTCATTTGTAGATCCTGCTTCACTTCCCCTCTATTGTTTCTGTTTGCCTGTCTTAGCTGTTCCCTGCCTGTAGTGGCCATTGTTGGGTGGGCATGATGCTCTTCGGGTAATAAGACAAGATAAGAAAACTTACCTATTAACCCAGAGGGAAATTTTTCTTGGCTGTACAGGACGGTAAAAAACACATGCAGGAATACATTTTAAAAAAATGCAAATTATATATTACTCCCATTAAAATTCATGAAAAGAGAAGTAAAGCTGACAAAATGTACATGTCACATTAGATGCATCATTCAACCACATGCAGGGATTTAATTACAAGACCTTTGGAGTTATAATGATTCCCCGTTTGGACTTCTCTGTTGATATCAACCCCTTGGTGCTCTTATGACCTTATTATGCAGTTGCGAACGCCGTAAAAACCTTACTGAAAAAGCTCTTCGCGTAAATAAATAAACATTGGTACGCGTATGATTGGTATCACGAAGGAATCAGGCCTGTTGTAAAACCTTACTTAAAAAGCTCTTCGCGTAAATAAATAAACATTGGTACGCGTATGATTGGTATCACGAAGGAATCAGGCCTGTTGTAAAACCTTACTAAAACACAAGGATGCCAGATCTCCTGTTTTTCCGTTTTTTTCATAAACTTGCAAAAGAAAGTTGAATGGTAAAAGAAATGTTTTTGTTTTGCTCATTTAAAGATTTTAATAGGTTCGTTTTAGGTGAGGTGTGATGCTCCGCTCATTTTCCATTTTTTTTTTTTCAAAAATCATTTGGCATCCCTGTAAAACAAAACTAACTGGTTCCAAACGTATGGAGCATGTCTCCCCTGTGGAGCATATGTCAAGGAAGTCAAAATCTAAAGGGAGACTAGTTATTCTTTGGTGATCTACTTTTTCTATGTCTACCACTCAAGCAAAGCTGAATCATACATTCTGCTGCTTTAACACTTTCCTTCCACGCAACACACAGAGTGTGCAACACTTCTCCCCATGCACCAGGATACCGGTGCGGTACACGCTATATCACACCGCGGGAAAAGGGGGCGGCTTTTTACCGTCGCCGATCGGCGTCCCATGGGGAAAGGTGACGACTTCTTCTTACCGTCGCCGATCGGCGCCCCGTGGGTGCAAAGTGTTAGATCTTCTGTCAGGATGCGAAAAGGCCATAGAGGATGTTTTTCTTCAATAGTTTTCGATTATAATAATACATGTACTAGTCTATAGAGCTCAGAAATGTTTTGTCCGACTGGCAAAGACACCCCCCCCCCCTGTGATGGTTATGTTATGTCATTGTAGCTATCAGTGGTTGTGCGTGGATGGTTGGCAGGTGCTCTGGTGTGGTTAGCTTCTTCTTTCCTATCAAACGTCTATCGTCTTGATTTCCCCTCCTTCTTTTTTGTTTGTTACTCTTTGGTAACACCTCTAATCTCCGGCACTTATATGACCTTATTGTTATGCCTTAAAACTCTTACTAAAACTAAATTTCTTTTTTTTTTGGTTTGTTACTCTCTTGTAACATCTCTCATCTTCGGCACTTACATGACCTTATTGTGTTGCAAGTGCCGTAAAACGCTTACTAAAACATACTAAAACAACTGTTCTGTTTGTTCTGTTTGTTTCCCTAGGCAAATCTGGCTAGTTTGTGCATGAAGAAGGGTAGTTCCAAGAATGCCATGGAAGCAGCCTCAGTGGGCCTCAAAAGAAGTGACAGAAACAGGAAGGGGACGGCGTCAGCCGAAGCCTCCCGCCCTCACTCAAGGTCGCAGCAAAAACATGCGGGTGGTGGCGGAGACTTGTCCGAAGATGGGGTCGTCTCGGCGGCGTCAAACACGAAGCCCCGTCAGAGGCACCAGAGTAGTGGTGCGGCTGCCGCTGTGGTAAGATGCTGTGGTTGTTGTTGTTGATAGCGATCCTGTAGCGTCTGAGCGTTAACTCTTCTGCATGATGCCATTCGGTAAACGCTGCATGTCTGTTTATATAGTTGTCTTGAGGAGTAGAGGCTATTAGATGTGTGGGGTAGCTTGGGAAGAAAATATCCTCTCAAATCGGTTAGTTTTCTACAGAAGAACATCCGATGTTCCACTGTCTCGGAGGGGTAGTCACATAGTGGGCAGGCAGTAGACTGCTTTACTCCAATTCGGTTGAGATTTGTGGTAAGATAAGGTACATCCTAATTGTCCAGATCCTGGCACATTTTGTTTGGTGTTTCACCACGTGTACACGCGCACACACACACACGCACACACACATGCACATAGACATGTACACAGACACACACATGCACACAGAAATGTACACAGACATGCACACACACACACATGCACACAGACATGCACACACACACGCACACAGACATGTACACAGACACACACATGTACACACACACACATGCACACACACACACACATGCACACAGACATGCACACACACACAGACATGCACACACACAGACATGCACACACACATGCACACACACACACACATGCACACAGACATGCACACACACACACATGCACACACACACACATGCACACAGACATGCACACACACACACACATGCACACACACACACATGCACACAGACATGCGCACACACACACACATGTACACAGACATGCACACACACACATGCACACAGACATGCACACACATGCAGGCTTACAACCGCATGCATAATATAAATGAGCAGCAATATAAGCAATAATAATCTTAAGCTAGATACTCAATATTGTTCTGAGGCATGCTCTAATGTCGTATGAACACTTATACAAGATAGTTAAGATGGAATAGTTTTGATGGATGATGGTAAAAATGACCTTCTGGATCTTTCTTTGTTACAGATCAGAAGCCTAGGTCTTTTACTTTTGACTGATGTTTTTATTTGAGGGAACAAGGGATGTTTGTTGTCTAAAAAGATGGAATTATTTTTTTTAGTGCAAGCTGTTATGTACAATTCATCCAAGCAGGGGAATGTAGATGTTGAAATTTTACATGCTTTCTGTATTAATCGATTTAATTTTTCTTTGTCTTGTTGTCTTGCCTTTCCGGCCCGTGCTGTTATACTAAAATTGATCATACTTCTTCTTTCCTATCAAACACCTATAATCTTTATCTCCCCTCTTTCTTTTTTGTGTTTGTTACTCCCTTGTTACACCTTTACTCTTCAGCACTTATATGACCTAATTGTGTTGCAGGAGCTGTAAAACACTTACTAAAACTAACTAAAAACCTGTACCAAAACTAAACAGGACAAGGTCGCCACAGCGACGACGAAGCATCGGCGGAAACACAAGAGCGGCGGGGAATCGTCTGTGGACGGCAGCGGCTCGGCCTCCGCAGCGGGGAGACCTCGGCACAAGCACAAGAGCGGAGAAGGAGGAGGGGGGGCGGAGGAAATTCCCGAGCCCCCAAGCGTGCGAAGGTCTGGCAAGCTGCTGACGCAGAGCAAGGACCTCATCCAGGCCAACAGACTGGACCAGCCGCTGTCCGTGGACGTGGGGCAGGATGCAGAGCCTCTTGGCCGTGAGTGGGGTTTTTTTTTGTCTGTCGTCTGTGTTTGATAAACCCCCCTGGGCGGTGCTACTGACTGAAGTGTCTTTAGGTCATTCCCAAAGGGGGGATATAACATGTTCTTATGCTCAGTAGAATTGGAAATGGGCTGATTCATCGTTATGCTCGTAACAGTGCCTGAACTGCATACGGGGCAGTGCTGCTTTTTCTTTCCTCATCTTTACTATCGTCTTTTTTCCTCCACTTCTTTTGTATGTCTGTCACTCTCTTGTTACCCACTATTTCCGGGGTGCCTCTATAGTCGAAGCATACTTTGTGCTGTTGAAGGTAGAGAAGTGAGGTGGGTGGTTGGCGGGTGGTGTGGTGTGGTTTGCTCCCCCTCCTTCTTTCCTAACAAACATCCAGCGTCCTTATCTCTCACCCTTCTTTTTTGTGTTTGTTACTCTCTTGTAATACCTCTAATCTTCAGCACTTATATATGACTTATTGTGTTGCAAGTGCAGTAAAACGCTTACTAATACTAAAACTAAAAATAAAAAATAAAAATTCGATAAACATTTCCAAACTTGCGGGAAAATGCCTTTTTCTCCGGTTTCGTTATTTTGACGAGCGCCTGATGTCACCACGCTGCCTCACATTTGTCTGCTTAAGAGTGTGTCTATATTGGTAGATTTATGTCTAAATACTGCGGATGAAGCAAATAGAATTTTGTGAGTGGGTGGTTGGCGGGTGCTCTGGTGTGGTCTGCTGCCTCTTTCCTATCAAACATCTATCAACCAGATCTCTCTCCCTCCTTTTTTGTTTTTTTTACTCTCTTGTGACACCTCTAACTAATCTTTTTTACTTGTATGCCCTTATTGTGTTGCAAGTGATCTATAACACTTACTGAAACTAAAAAAAACCCACCCCAAAACAAAGAACTAGAATAAGACTGTTTGCCCATTGTTGTGTGACAACTTGTTGGAATCTTGTAAGTGGTTGGTTGGATGGTGCTCTGATGTGGTTTGCTTCTTCTTTCCTCTCAAACATCTATCGTCTTTATCTCTCCTCTAATCTTCGGCACTTATATGACCTTATTGTGTTGCAAGTGCCGTAATACGCTTACTGAAACTTAACTAAAATCCCCAGATCTTTCGCCGCCCCAGACGCAGTTTTTGGGCAGGACGTCGCCGAACAAAGCCCACCGCTCTGCCGCCGCCGTAAAGAAGCCGCCTGTGACGACCAATGGGGACCAAGCCTCATCATCATCATCACCCGACTCAGAAAACAGGACCAAGAAAGACGCCGACGGAGAAGACGATGACGACGATGATGATGATGACGACGACGACAAGTCTCTGAAAGGCTCGTCTCGCGGCCCTCGGATCAAACACGTGTGTCGCAGAGCGGCCATGGTGTTCCCGCAGCAGAGGGCTACATTCCCCGAAGAGATGCCCAGGCGAACGACCTTGACCCTCAGCGCTCTGCCCAGTGCGGAGAAGCAGCAGCTGCTGGCGAAGAGCAAGCAGGAAGTGAAAGACGGTCAGTTTTTTTTTTGTAAATTTTTTTTTAAAGATTTATATTTCTCTCTCTTTCTCTCTGTCTCTCTCTCTCTCTCTCCCTATCTCTCTTTTTCACACACACGCACACACATACTTATCTATACACAAATGCAGATGCAGATATTACTCAGTGCTTCCACTCTTCCGTATTTTTACGGAAATCCGTACTTTCTGCTAGTTCCGTACTTGTTCCTCCATCTTTATCAACTCCCTCTGTAAAAAGCTGCGACAGCGTAGGACTAGCGAAATTCTGTAGCAAAAGATCCGTACTCGCCTTCGTATCGTTTAGTACTAGTATAAGTTTAGGATATTTATGGTGATTCTCTCGGCAATAAGTTAATGTTATAGAAACCTGCCAGATTGCGCATTTCCTGCAATCGGCCTTTATTCCGCTATGCTCCATGCATTCGTTGCGGGTTGGTCGGCAGTACATTTTTACCTGTGGATTTATCAAAATCTGGCGTACTTTTTGTGCCAATTTCCTCCTTTCTATCATTCGCTCATTCCATCTGTCTATCTTCGAATTGTTGCCGCGGCTGGAAAATCTGTGCTTTGATCAAGTAAATTGACTTGTGATCTTAGACAGAAAATTACTGCCAGAAAGAAACTTTTTTACAAATTTGTCTAGATCTCTAGAGAAATGATCAATACGAAGATTCTACGGCACGGGAACGCGATAAGGGCCGCAATGAAAGAAATTTATTCTAAAACCAGCCTTAAACTGCCTAAGTCAAGAATAATTCGAAGTGATGTTCCGAGGTGCTGACATGCGACATTCAGTAGTGTAATAGGCTTTTTGCTCTCACAGCCACTGGTTGGCCTTGAGAAGCAAGGTCAGAGCGGCCCGCCTCTAAGCATATTTGTGTCCTT